AAAAGGTATTGGGTTAGCAGAGCGTGGTTTCGATCCACGGACCTCTGGGTTATGGGCCCAGCACGCTTCCACTGCGCCACTCTGCTGTCTCTGTAATTGGGTATGCACTGAAATGTGAATTACACAAACGGATTTTCTGAGGCAGCTGACGTATCTTGTTCTATTATTGGCACTATGATCATGACCTGGTATTTATTATAATTACAGTTATGGTTACCATTATTATTACCATTACCATTATCGTTACCATTATTATTATCATTATTATAGTCATAGTTATTATTAAAATAACAATAATGATAATAGTAATAATAATAATCATTATTATCGGTTACATTTTTATTATTATGACCATCATTATTATTACTATTATTATTATTGTTATTTCTATTGTTCTTATCATTATTATTATCATTACTAATGGTAGAAATATCATTGTTATTATCATCGATATTATTTTCATGTTTCTATAATTATCATCCTTGCTAAAATCATTATTTATCAGTATCATTATTATTATCATTATTGTTGTTGTTACTGATATCATTATACCATTATTATCATTAGTTAATTATTTTTTGTCTGTCATTGATATTATCATCATAATTGTTAGTATCATTATTTTCATTATCACTTTCATTATCATTTCATTATCATTGCTGTTGTTATCTTTTATCGCTATCTTTTATTTTGTTGTAGTAACAACAGTATCATTAATATCCTCCTCTTCATCACACACGTATACAGATATCCAAATATATACATATATATATATATACAAATACACACACACGCACACACACACACACACACACACACAAACACACACACACACACACACATACACACACACACACACACACACACACACATACACACAAACACACACACACACACACAAACAGACACACACACACACACACACACACACACACACACACACACACACACACGAGAGAGAGAGAGAGAGAGAGAGAGAAACTACCTTAAATTTTTCAGTCTTAAATATAAATCTTATTTCAGTTCCTTATCTCAAAAAATATATTTATATGTACATATAACAATGAAATAAGCACTAATAAACATTTATCTGGTATCAATAAAAACCACGAGAGAAAAAAAAACTATATTTTCGAAATAAGTCATAAATTTGGGCCTCAAATCTCATTTGAATGTTTGGGTGTTTTCAAAATTTCCAAAAATAAGTCTGGGCAAGAAAGTACAGAAGAAAAAAAATCGTATACACACACAACTTTCATAGTCGGGCAGTTTTAAGAGGCACCAGAGATTGGTCCATTTGCAAAGCGGAAAATCGGCTCCTTCGCATGTCGGTAATCGGCTGCTCACTCACCTTAACCATCTCACTTAATCTGCTTTTGACCGTGTTACCTGGCAATGAAAAATTACTTGCCTATTTTCGCCTAATATCGCCGTGGCCAAAATTAATCAACCTCCTTATCTTTACCATGCGTCATGTTAAAGCAGTGGTTCCTAAACTATTCCTCCCCCGCCCCCCCTTCCAGACACACATGCAAACACATTTTTTTTTGGGGGGGGGAATGCATCAGAATGAAAGCTACAAGGTTAAACACAAGGCTGCATCTCACTAATATAACCTAAGTTAATAAGCCTATTTATTTAACATTTTGTAAAAGGCAAAAAGTTAAAAGTTTCTCATTAACTTGCTCCTAATACCATCCTGCCGCCCCCAACCAGGCCATACCGTTCCCAGGGAGGAGGTACCGTTCACTTTGGAAACCAGTGTGTGTTAAGGCTTTGTATTATCATTGCTTATAAACTGGATGTGCTCTTCATAATTTTCTTTTTGGGAACGTGAAGTGTTTGGTCTCAAGGTGACAACAAAGCTTATTTGGATTTTAGAATTTCAGACTTCAACTGGCTAACCAGAGACAGCGAGAAGAGTTATCACCGGTGCACTTCGAGTCTTCGTCGTTTCTCCTTATTATTATTCCTTTGTCGAAGTACCATCATCAGTTTCTTTCTCCTTCAGCGTACCTGGTGCCAGTTACCTGCCCATCACGTGGCGAAAACGGAAGAGGCAGCATTGCGCGGCAAGTCAGATCAAAACGAATAGCCTCTGACCTCTACAAATTCTCACGCAATGTGAGACTGAAAGTAATTCTTAATCCGTACATTTCGTATTGTTGAACGGCGCTCCAGGTACTTAAAATAATATCGGGGGGCTTAGTCTGAGGGCGTTTGTGGTTCCTGGGCACCTTTCTCATCACTCCAGAAGCCACTGCAGATGGTTTCTTTATTCTTATAAATATTATTTTTTCATTTGTTCAAACGTTGAGATGAAATCAGAGTGTTTTGATTCTCTAATCGCCGAAAAAACTAGAAGTAATTTATTTGGTGTGAAAAGATAGCACTACTCAGTG